AGTAGGTGCCTTCGGATATTAAGGACCTATTAACCTTTGTTAGGGTGTTGAGTTAACCCCTGTACTCTTTGAGTTAACCGTCTTCCTCTGACGCTAAGCTACGGCAGCCCCGCTGCAGGTTCTATACCCACGACGTGTAAGACTTGTAAGCAACTGCTGATTACCGAGACAAAGTTGAAACATTCATCCGTGAATTATGTATAACGATACAATGGTTTACAGGTTATGTACAGTCCATCCACCCAAAGTTGAGACTTCCACTGAAGTTAAGGAACCGTTAGGGATCTATGGCAAGATCTGATAAAAGAGCTTGTAGAACTTTCGATGAAAACGTCGTTTGCCGTTAAGTATTACAACCTTAATAACTTAGTGCTTAAAACTCGTCGGTACGCATGCTAATTGGCCGGGATGGCATTCAAGCAAATATTATTACGACCCAAAATTTGACTATTTTGAGTTGGTTCCGAATAACCCAAATAAACCTGCTCGTTTGGATGGCATTCAGACGAAAAAAAACCATTAAATTTTTAGTGGCTTTTTTTTCGTCTGAATGCCATCCATAACGAACTTTGACGAGCAAGTTGGGACGAAGAGAGCGTCACTATTAAAAATCCGTTGTCACGGATTTTCATTCTTTGGATGATTTGCTTTCACTCGACTCGAAGACAATTAAAGCTTGGGTACGAATTTTTTCCTCGTGTACTTTCGTGGGTTTCCGCGTGTGGCAAGATTTTTAGCGTGTGGCATGGCTTTTCGCGTTTACCCGTTGTTATACGCGTGTACTGTGTTTAGAACGTGTGGTAGTGAGATTTTTGGCGTGTGATAATTTTTTGACGTGTGATACTACTTCATTGTTACTTTAACAATGTTAATCATACGGATAATGATGGCGGAAAGAATCTTGTAAACTAAAGGTGTGGCATTTGTTAAAAAAAGCAATATATAGACTGCGTTGGTGATCTTTTGTGCCGACTGTGAAGCTCACACAAACGCATAACCGGACCTGGCGGTGTGGTTCAGCACATGCGCTAACTCCTGTATGTCGTACGGCTCAACGTCGATGTCGGCATCCGCAAATTCGATTTTCCAGTAGTATTTACCGTCTTTGGCGAACCATGGTCGCACGATTCCGTCGAAATTCTTTGTTGTGATGCCATCGTCGTCATTTATATCG